TGTATGTAGTGCCAGTATGTACACTGACCAAGTAATTCCATACAAAAAGCATACAAAAATGATACATTACATGTAGCAATCTTGGTTGGGCTGTGATATTTTGTAAATTCACAAATCTAATCGCTCACTGCCACTGTACAACACGTAGTACACACGTGTACGTGAATTCATGAACATTTCAATATTGGATTCTTGCCAAAATTCTGAAAAAAAAACCCAATAAAAGACCAATGTTTTAAGCAAGTTACTTTGCTGTTTTTTTAAGCAATTTAAATTAAAACTAAGCTTGCAGAGCTCTCAGCAAATACTCTGCAAATATAATACGCTGGGTAGGGCAAATGCCCCACACCACACCAACACAAAAATTCCATGCCCTATTTAATAAGCTCAACTTTCTGAATTTCCAATTAAAGCCAGGATCGTGCATGGAATACCGGGGCTATATATCTCCGAGATCAGGTGTACGGGTGACATGACGTTCACATGCTACACTTGTCCATATTCATTGACACATTTCGTGGGGCCCAATTTAACCCGTCATGCTAAATGCTGCTCACCCACCTGGGAACTTTGGAACCTGTGACATTTTAATCCGAATAAATTGGCCTTTTCCCCCTCTGTGCATTTGAGGAAATGCCTGTGCTTGAATTTCAGAGAGAAATTTATGAGACCAAAAAAAGTATTTCCAAGATCAAGTGAAATATTGAACTGTTAAACTTTTTTTCTGGGGCCTCAGACCGGTTTGTTACATGTAAATTTGAGAGTACATTAGGTAAATCCCTCCTAAACTTATGCAAACATACGTTCTGTGCAAAGTTGTCCTTTCTGTCAAAATCAATGAAGTGACTGTTTTAACAGTTAAGAGCTCCCAGCTTACATAAAGTGGATGGACTGGCTGTGACTGTTTAACTTTAACCCCAACCCTGCTGAATCCAGCAGGATCCAACTGAATTATCATACCCGATGGAGCCTGTTGGGTTGAGCAGTTAACCCCTTGTGTACATTCGTGATGCCAAATGTTGGATTCAGTAGGCAAATGAACTGCATTATAACGCCAAAGTTGGACCCCGTTGGATTCAGCAGACAACTCAAAATAAGGCACAGTGGATTGAGCAGGAAACTCCGGTTGGGCTCTGTTGGATTTAGCAGGGTAGTCCTGAGGAACTACTAGGGGTTTAAGGGTAAATGACTTGATACAGCAATGCTTTGACTGTACGTGATTGATAAGCCAGCTGTGCCTAATCGTACCACTTACCTGTTCGTTGACTTAAGTTGACTAGTCACAGCGCTTGCTTGAAATACAATCTGACTATTGATGACTAGCCTATAGTGTAATGGCAGGGAAGAGGATTGACCTTTTGACTGTCTGTACCTTTGCCATTCCCCCCCAAAAAAGTCAGATAGTGATTTTACACAATTTCCATCTGCCCCCCCCCCTTCACTATTGTGATAAAGTCACTGTAATTAAGGTCACTAGACTAAAGTTTACATTCAGCAAAGTAGATATTATTCAGTACACAAACATAAATACTTGAGCAAACGATCCTTATCAGGTGTTTAATTGATGGCAACTTGATAGGATTAAAGAAAACATAGAAGTGTAAATGTAATAATATTGCAGGACTGAGAAGTCCATTAGTTGGATATAAACATACATCCGGATAGGAAAACAAAAATGTATTCATCACACTTTTGTCACCGGTATTGCAGTGATCTGTGGAAATTCCACTTTGCACAGAAATAAGTTGATCACAGTAAACGCTGGCTGTGCAACAACTGGCTACTAGCCAAGAGCAAAAATGAACAAAAAAGTGTACATCAGACTGATTCTCCTCTATTTTGATTGAAAGTTGAAACACAGTATTAAAGGTAAGACATTTAACCTAGAAACAATACTGGCTTTTTTTCAAAAAGTGCTCCTAATTTTTCATATTTAGTTCGTCTGCGTTTTCTTTGCAATTGATTACAAACCTGTGAAAACTACAAGCCTGCTAGACTGATTCTCATGATCTTAAAATTCCCCGAAGTCTATAAATTGCTCCGGTTCATCTTAAGTGGCGTCGGGGAACCAGACTACGAGAACACGATTGGTTTTCTTGGTTTTTCCAGCATCTACGAACCCAAAATGTGAAACAAGTCAGTGTAACAATATTTGCTATAACGTACTAATCCTCCAAATCCATTTATTTCTGAAAATTGCAGCAAAAGCAGATGTTGTACATTCCCTTTAAGTCAAATACATGTACACAATGCTGGAATCAATGCCTCACCTTTATCCTTTCATCTTACATCAACTAATGTCGAAATGAAATCACGCTTGGACTGCCGGTGTTGACTCCCTTAAAAGCACCACTTCCGGAAACCTTTTAACCCTAATGTGCCCACATCTTTGCTTGCGTGTTTTAACATTTCTGAGATTCTCCAGAAAGAAGACCCTGAACCATTTTGAGAATTCAAAAAGCAGGAAGTAGGGTTTTAGCTTGTAATCTGGGCACAGATTTTCAGAAAATCCTCTTTGGAAGGAACATTACTGCAGCATCTTCAAAAGCAGTCAGTGGGCAGCCAGCTTATTATCTCATCACAATAGAGATTACAAGTAAGAAATGTGCCGGCTTCAACGAAGACAAGTCGGGCAGGTGAATTTATTATACACATGTACACAACGTCATGGGCCCTCACTTGGTTTCTGGGACTCAAACGTTGTTTTGAACACCTCGTTAATCACCGTAATTACATCAAGTAATCCTGTTTGATAACAATTAATCTGTGATGAGTCAAGGAAGTGTACATGTACATTTCCTGGCTAGCCTAATGAATTCGGCTAGGATCTGGAGACAATTATCTTTGACGTGCTTGTTATTCATAATGCAGTGAATGCAGCGCTTGGGTAGTGGCCACGCATGGCTGGCTGAATAGCCCTGGCCCAACAATACAGGGCAAATTCTAAGAAAGTCACTGTGATGTGTACCTTAGGTTAAATACAGCTTCTTAAATTCATGACATTTGTCTACGCATGCATGCATGACAATTAAAATGTTCCACAGATTTTTGCTAGATTTTAAATGTAAAACAGCAAAATCCATTGTAGAGAATGAAGCGACCCAATGACAAACTGGATACAATGGATACAATTCAAAAAGTTGAACTTTCCAAATGTTCTCAAACCAACCCAAGTATTTATTCATTTTTGTGTACGGTATCTGTTATCATTTTTAACCCAGAGAATCACAAACTAACTTAAATTTTTACAGAAATCTGAGACAATTTTTTTACTGAAAAAAAGTTTTTCGATGATTGTGTGATTCCATGGATGTGTCCATGCGCAAAACAGTTTAGAGACAGTGGAATTGATATAATATACAGTAAAATAGGAATTTCGTATATCGGTACAACACACTGCATTGTACCTGTACCTCAAAAAGCAAGAAGTACCGGTACATGTAACATCCTTAAAAAAGGCAATGCAATGTCTGTTATCCTGGTCAACTTGTCAAGTCCCATCTTGTTGTAATGTCCATGTTTTTCTGGTATTTCTAAAGAGACCTGTTTCAATTCATCTATTCTTCAATTTGCCAAATAGAAGGGTGGGGCTTACAAATGCCGTTTCCTTGTCTCGACAGAAGCTCTGACAAAGCAAAGCTTTTTGATCCACATCACTGGGACTGCTTCTTATTGACTGGTGCGCCGGGAAGAGTCAATTTCTGGTGGGCACTTCTTAGAAATCAATAGTAAATCAATGAGGAACAATTGTCAGGGGGCTACATTACGGAAACACGTCTGGCTGGTTGTTTTGAACACATCAGAAAGGCTGTAACGGTTCGTCTTAAAACTCTAGTTGACATGAGAAATTGTCTTGGACTATCCCACGACACCATACATGTACATGATCCCGAGTCTTTGGAGAATATTTTTTTTACCCAATAGAACCACAGTACATGTTTTATGGATTGGAAAAGTGGTATTTGAATGGGGAACTGAAATTTGGGGACGGGAATTGATCAGCATACAGTTCATTGAAACTGTATACTCTTACTCAAAATGGATAAAGCACTAAACAGGCTTTTCTGTTAAGTTGCAGGATTACCAATGTCAGAGTCTTAAAAAAAATATACAATCAAATCTTAGTCAGAACAATTTTGATTGATTAAAAACACAAAACAGGGCTAACTTTTTACATTCACAAACGGGCAATGAAAACCTGTTATAATTTGTTCATTAAATTTGTTCTGTATTTTTCAAGTATGATATTTTTAATAACTTTAGTTTTTTTTATGTAATGTACATGTACATGTACCATCACCAAGGCATAAATTTTAAAACTGAGTTAGGTTCTGTTTGATATTTTAACAAGCCTTCATTTTTTTTCAGGGAGAAATTTGAGGGCCAAACAGAGTGGCTTACAGTCACATAATTTATTTTATCCATTCCAAGATTAATTCAATTTTGAATCAAACTGCAAACTGTGACAAGTTCTCGCGTTTGATTTTGTTAAAAGGACAATTGTCGCATTGTGCACAAAAGTGGATTAGTTCAAACTAGGTCTACCCATGCCCCTACGTGTGTGGTCTGCTTGCTACAAAAAGAAACAGAATTTTTTTACATGATTTGTGCAGACCTAAAGGCCTGGGGGGGGGGGGAGTGCTTTAAACGTGGTAGGGGGTAAGAACCTTGATATGTTCATGAATATAAAATATTTCTTTCTCAATTCTAAAATGTTATAAAAATTCTCAAATGTTTTTTCCAAAATTTACTAGCAGATGAAATAATGTACATGTATTTTTCCCAATGAGGAAAATTTGGAAAGATGTTGCAGCATCTTGACCCACTTTTTCATCATATATCATCTCAATGAAGGTCAGTCGTTGCAAAAATGTTGAAACATTTCCAATTTTGATAGAAAATACTTTGAAAATATTTTTGACTCTCCCTATACTTTGTACACAACCGCTGAAGTGGCGTCTGGATACTACATTCTTTCCGAGAATTTGTTTGAAACTAACCTGACATGTGTTGGTCATCGTACAATGGTCCTATGTCTTGCTGAGGAATTCGTAAGGCACTTGCAGCACGCAACACGCTGATGCCAAAGTTGACACTGGGGGCGCCGTAATGTTGCTCCAAAGGCCAAGTTTCCGATTGAAGATACAAGCGTTGCAACCCTCGAACACAAAGACGTTCTTCTCCATGGTGCAGTACTGTAAGCAGGCACGACCCGCCACGGGACCAAAGTTACATGTCTCTTCTGACCACTTGTTTCTGACGGCGTCAAGACTGAACGACTTGGTGGCAAGATCCGTGGCAAAGATTTTATGGTCGTAGGCTTCGACGATGGGGAATTCCCAAGGCTGGTCACCTTGTGGAATGGGAATGTCGGGGAGGATTGTCCACTCATCGGTTTGGATGTCGTATCGTTCAACGGTGGATACGGGTCGTCGAGATGCATCCCGGCCCGATACGGCGTAGATGTAATGGTTACCGAGTGTCACAAGCTGCATGGAGTAACGTTTAGTAGGCATCTGGGATACGAAAGTCCACTGATCCACATCCGGGTCGTATCGTTCTACACTCTGCTGTAAGCGATCCCATCGTATGCCACCCATGGCATACAAACAACCATTGCACTCAACTAGGGACATGTACTCTCTGGGTGTCTGTAAACTAGCCACAGTGCTCCAGGAGTTATTCATGGGGTCGTAGCAGTGGACGCTATTGGACACCAGATTACTGCTTGAGCCACCGGCTGCGTATAGACAACTGTTCAGTACAGCGACAGCGTGGAATCGGAGTTCGTTAGGCAACCCAGGCAACATTGTCCACCGATCCTCATCAATGATGTAACCGAAACATTTCTCCAACGGCCCCTGATCACTGACGCCTCCGGTGATGACCACAACGTCTGTCAATCGCCCCTTTCGTGGCTTCAAGACAGGACTGTCACTGCAGTAACTTCTTCTGGTTGTGTCTGTTTGGTGCAGCGCATCTGCTAAGAGTTTTAAACACTCTCCGTTGGCTGTGACTAGGGGTTCTTTCTCCACCACATCTTTGAGGTAGTTGCGGTCAAGTTGGGACAGACGAACGTGCGACAGCAACTTCGGAAGATGCTTGGCCCTCTCTGGGTCCATCTGTGCCCAACGTATCACCAACTCATAGATGCTCTCCTCTTTCTCCACACGTATCTTGTCATCGGTGATCAAATTCAGAATTTCTTCTTGACTTAACAGGAGAATGTCTTCAATGGAATCTTGAACAACGTTCATGAACTGGTTGCGGATAAACTTACAGGCCCGTTGGTGCAACTCTTTAAACCCGTATAAATCAGCCAAATGTCTGACCACCAAACAATTCGCTGCATTCATGTTCTGCCAGAGAAACTTGTGACAATAGTTCTTGAGATTAACCATAAGAAAGGGATCCGCTCCTCTCAGAATACACTCCACATTATCCGCAGTTAGTGTGATTCTGCCAGTGTACATGTAGTCCAAAATCAACTCCATCCCCTCAGCCGAAGTACAAGACATATCAGCCATGGCTTGGAGGTCTTCTTCCAAACCGCTATTGCACATGGTATCAAAGTACGGACTACAAGCCGCTAGCACATTGCGGTGAGCTTTGAACACCCGTCCACCAACCCGTAGCACCATGTCACAATACTTTTCGTCTGACCGCTGTTTACGGAGTTTGGTCAGAATCTGCGAACCCTGGTCGTCCTCAACAAACTCCATTCCGCCATGACAACCCCCGCTGCCATTCAACGACATGTTAATGGCGGAAGGATGTGGCAACAACTCCTCCATTTCTGGTCTGTGTTGTCTTCCAAAAAACAACCACTTTACGGAGTGGCAAGCCACAACTTCGAAGATGTATTGTGCACCACCATGGCACCTGACACGCTTTATATACTACTGCACTGGCATGCACGCGTTGTTCTATGCAGTTTTTACGCGGCTGCTATCGTTGAACTGATATCTCACGGGAACAACAATTAGTAGTCTCCGCTCCAGCCGTTCATATTTTAAGGAAGGAAATAACAGGCCTTTAAGCGTCAAAGAGGGCGCTAAACCCCGATGACGGAGGTTTGGTTTCAACATTTGGCCTTTTTAAACGAATGTTTCTGGGGCTCCGTTTCTGGGTGATTTCTGATTTGCAGTCGGATTTTGCTCAAAGGGCACGTTTCTACTCTACTCATTTGACACTAGGGGGGCTATTCATGTTAATACTTTCGCTCGTACCCCCCGCCCTGCAAACAGGACGCTGGGATACTCTGATGAGCTTCACAGAATCTTGTGAAGGAAGTGGCCTATGACCTATGTATAAAGCATCTGGCTGCAGCCCAGTTAGACAAAGTCTATAATTGTGAACGGCCCCTTAGGCCATCTTCTTTTGAACCCTTACTGCACGTTTTCCATTTTAAATAAACTTCTTACAAAAATAATATATTTTAATACGAATTACGGTAGGCCTATCCCTCACTCCCCCATGGCTTTTGAAACGTTCGCGAATTTCCAGGAGGCTTCTACAGCCAATAGGACTACTCCACTCATCGATGAATTATATGATTTAACCAGACAATCCGCAACAATGTATTCTCTGTTGTATAGACAAAATACATTGACGAGTAAAGTCAAGGTTAATATCCCTGCTCGCCAGGTCAATAAATCATCAAGCCCATAAGGAATATTAGGCAACACTCGCTGCCGGCCATTTTGGCCAACCAAAGGCTGACTGAGCGCGCAATGACTATTCGCCAGGGATTACAAGCAGAAAGCAAAGAACTTTATGCACTGGTGATGCCCGCGGATATCGCTAACTGATTGACCCGTATAAATCATACCTAGGCGCCCCCTGTCATTTCACCTCTTTAGGGACTTGATGATGTGTCTTGTCGACGATGTTTATGGAGCAGACATCAGTCTGGAGGAGCATTGAGAGCAGGAAGTCAATTATCATCGTCTGGACAAGTTGCTTTGGCGTGGAAACTTTAGAGAATTAGCGGATATTCACTATGGCCTACTTACAGGTTTGTGAAAAATGCACTTCTTCTAGACGCATTTGCAGCGTCAATACTTTAATATTACCGGTACATAATGTAAATCGGCGTCACGTCACTCATAAAATGGAATAAGATGTTGTTTTGTTTCGCCTCATTGTACAAATTGTGACATCTCGAGTGTTGGTCTGTGTTTGGATTTATAGTACAAATTCATTTAGGGCTAGAATCATTGCAACTTATTGTCATACGTCATTGTACATGTGCCATCATGGGATCGGTATGTGTGTGTGTAGAACTTTTTCTTACTTCGTGCCGGTACGGGATTCATGGTACCGTTTCCCGTTTGATTGCACTGTTGTGCTGTTGCTGTGATTGTACTGATGAGATTCGGTGCGAGGTCAAAACTTCACTTGTTCAACTTGTCACTGCATATGCAATCATAATGCAGCTGTGCGGTGAGGGTGTACCGTGTATAAAAAGTGCATGCATAAAACAACATCCATGCAACATGAACTATAAAGTTTAGTTCCAATTAACGTGGTGTACGACTGCATTGGAGGCTACACTTAAGTTTGGTTTCCCCTTCAGCTTTGAGACCCTCACACGTGTTTGCTTGTTATGTTTTCGGTCCATAAACAAAAACTTGAAATTACCACTTTATGGTCAAATCCAAGGCTACAGACCAAGGTAAAGTAATATTTTCTTAATTTCCGGCTTGAAATGAAACTCTTTGACCCGCGATGATCGTAGTATACATGGGGCCTTCCTGCAAGGTTGAACTTACCATAATATGATCTTTTCCTTATACACTTTGCTGTTCTCGTACGGTGCCATTCTTATGATTATATATAGATACAGGCCTACTACAGTATAATAATATTGTAGTCTATATACTGAAAGGCCTTGACATCCAGGAGCATAGACACACGCGACTGGAATGTCAAGTATGTAGGCCGAGGGGTGCCACTCCTATTGGAATCAAGCTATGAAACATAACTCCGCATTTTATTTCTGTCGTTTAAGAGTATTTCCTTTCGTTCATAATCTGAAATATCATTATGCTGACATCTCTCGAAAGAGTATACGCATAGTATTTTCAAAACAACAAATAACAGTAATTTCAACAACGCCCTCTGGGGCCGGGGACGTCCTGAGATGCCATCGGATTGGACGCGAAGATAGTAAAATCATGGAACCATGCCGCCATGCATACTGCCTAAAACAATTTGAAAATACAAAATCTAGCTTTCAAGATGTCGTTCTCCCATTCTAACCATTCGTCTCAGGTATGATGGGCCCCATTTTTTTCCATAAGATATCAACATGCATCCCGTGTGTTATTTGAAATTGTCGATATGTCTTACACATTGCGAGATTATCCTGATGATGAAATAATTTTAAGATATCAACAATGTCCAGACTTGCAGACTTCCGTATCTCCGATCCATGCAGAGAGCGCATGCGTATCTCTTGTGTTTATCCAGGCAATAGTCCTCCTTGTTCTTGTCTCCGTTGTCAGGGTGATGATGACGAGGACCTGCCTCCCATGGAGAGGCCAGTCATGGATCAACAGGAGATTGCTGAGACTGGAGAGGGGCTTGTCTCGAATAGATTCACCGTCTCGGAATCCTTCAAGAAGCTAGAGACGGGCGAAGGTAAATAAATCACAGGGCAAGACAAACAGGATTAAAGGTTCTCCGGACGTGGTCTGAAAATAGAATGATTCAAATTCCCACTGGAAAACAAGAGATATCTAGCCAGTCCGTGCGATGATTGTGATTACCAGAGAGCCATGCACTCAGAGAGTAATAACTTGCGCGCCGAGAATAGGTCTATGCGCATGCATTGCCATTATGCCGCAAGGCCCTTTTTGAAGTTTTAACATTCGAAAGAAAACAAATAGGCCTTCCAATCAAAACTTTTTATCAAAAAGAAACTGCGTGACAAAATCGCCCATCATTACCCAATAGTTCTTTGAATAGCTGTTGTGGGCACAGTGTTCGACAAGTATACTGGAAAATAGGCCGGTGTATACGGTGCAGAAATTAACCTAAGAAACAAGAGTGTTGCCCGATTTGCTCTCGACTCCATTTGGGTTAACCGAGTATTTGGACAACTAACGGTGCTGAAATGTCCAAGAGGACTGGGATCGCGGACTCGGTCAGCACGTGGTGTTTTGACTTGATTTCTGATACACAATCCCATGGGGCTTGGAAAAAAACCCGACTAAACACTGGATTTGACTCCATGCAAAGGAAAGTTGGATATGGGCGAAGCCGCGAAACCTATTAATCAATATGAAAAGGTTTCGAGTATACGTTGTCAACAACTAGAAAGTTGTTATATTAAGGAGGTAAAATTCTAAGCCGGATCTTTGGTAATACCAAACTCGAAAGTTGTGTAAAAAGCAAAATGATGCGTTTTTTGTCTGCATACACTGATAACGTCGATTATTGTCTCAAATTTGTTCACAGCGCCCTCAGTGTTTAGCGGAACAAAGACTGGCCGAGAGACCGTCTTTAAGTCTAAGGCTCCCGAGGCTCCTAAACCACTTCAATCCTACGATGCTAGATTGTGTGCTGTCTGCGGGGAAAAACTGAAGTAAGATTAAGGAATCAGTTATTGGAGGGAAATATTTTTATTAATAATAAAGAAGGAGTTTGTTCATTAATGCTGAATCAAATATTTTTTTTTTTAATTGTGACATTGTCTCCATTTTAAACTTTTTCACCACCGTCCTTTTTAGAAATTAATACACATGTACAAAAAAATGATAGGTTTACTTCCGCACGCATGTGTATGTGGTTTGTTCGTAATTAATCGCAGAACAAACAATGTTTAATTGAAATTTGGTAAGTGATTTCTGGTTAAACTTAATTTAGTAAAGAATCATCTTTAGAACTGACACTGAATTCTGTGTGAAAACCTCATGCAAACTTATTGCCCACTGCCACTGCCGTGCATTGAAGATCGTTATCATGTACCTTTATTCGTTTTTGCCATATTCAAATAACAACTATCTGAAATGACATCGCGTGGTTGACATTATCGGCACCTGAATTAATATTTTGCCCATGCTGTTACAGGGGTAAATTTGCCAAGATCCAGGGACGAGGACTCCACTTTGACTGCTTCAAATGCTCCGTGTGCGGAGAAAACCTAAGAGGACAAGGTATCCATGCAACGAAACATTTGGAAATACGAACTATACTTATGAACACGATATTCCTTTGAAAGTTATACATTTTTTACGAATTTTACATCAAACCATTATGCTGTGTAATGTTATATTTATTCTAATTTTGGTCTACAGGTTACTTTGGTGGCGATGGAGTATACTTCTGCCGAAAAGATCGACCGTAGAAAAAAAAAAACAGGAACAGTTTATGCTCGCTTCGAACGTTTTACATGCTAACTTGCTGCTTGACATATCAATTAATCATGCTTGGAAGAAAATGACCGTATATCACCTGTACTTCAAACCAATATCAATATATGGCTGGGGTAATTGTAGTCTTGCACCAATCTTGAGTTTTGCACGAATCCCATTTGTGTGTGTGTGAAAGCAAAATGGCTGATGTGAAATTTCCAATAAACGTGGAATTGTTATTTTACTTACGGCACGGCCGACAGTCCTATTGGAATATTGTGGCATTATCTAATTGAATGTTTTGCAGCTTTGTGAATAATATAACACTTTTTATTGTTCAGTATTTTTAAGCATTATCAGCGAACCAAGTTTTACAGTAACAGTAAAAATATGTGCCTTATAAGGCCTTAACGACTCAATTATTTAAATGTTTCCGGTTGGCTTCAGAAGAAAATAGCCGTAGTTTCATAATGAAATTATTTAGTAATTTATAATAGTTTTTGTTGTTGATTTGTTCGTAACTATTGATCGATATTAGCCTCAGGAGGCCTGGCATATCGTCACCATAATCACGTTTTGTTATCGTACCGATATCAATACCAGGCACATATAGTCTATCCATGGTGTTTCTTGCACGACAAGCGTCTAAGATTATACAAAATTACCCTGCGTCTTGACCTCCAGATTCTGACCATTCAGAGGGTGCCTTCTATCGTGTCTTCGGTAACCCGATGTTGTATGAGAAAAAAGTTGGCAGCTGTTGACCAATCCGACAGCTTTGAAAGAATTTCTGCTCTAAACAATGTGACCAAAATAACCCATACAATTTTGCATGCTTGGATAATCTTCAGACTAGAGTGAGTAAAAAAACACGAAACCCAAATGTCGGGACTATTAATTTATTGAAGTTCTGCATGTAGCACTTTTAAAATCTAGGATATGGAAGCCCAATTCATAAGCTTTCTTTAGTATAAAAATAATTCAAATAACTTACATGTACGTACTTTTCAAGTTACGGAATTTTAAACACAACCACCGTTTTAAAGTTTTGTCCACGGATCCCACAAAAGGTGTGCGTTCTTTCAGCAAACCGAAAACAATTCATCCCTATGTGATTTGTTTTCGTTTTGCTGAAAGAGCACTTACTTTTTTGTGATCCGTGGACAGAACTTTAAAACGTTGGTTGTGTTTAAAAGTCCGGAACTTGAAAAGTACATTAGTGATTCGAATGATTCTTGTACTAAAAGAAAGCTCATGAATTGAGCTTTCATTTCCTAGATTGTGAAAGTGCTATGCAGAACTTCACTAAAACAATGGTCCCGACATTTGGGTTTCGTTTTTTTTACTCGCCCTGTACACCATTTTGTCACCACCTTCGTTACCATTGTGGTATCGAAATATGTCTGTATTTAAAATGTATAATACTTTCCCACGTTTCAAAAGAACGCTTTATTCGTGTTGAATAAACAGTGTTAAAGGACCCTATTCACGAGGAAGCAATTTTTGTCGCGTTCCCTGAATGTGTTTCAAAAATTGTGAACTGTTGAATGGGATCAGTGGTGCCAGACTATTTATTAATTCTAGCCTCACCTTCATTTTTTTTAAGTGTGGCTTAAACATTACGGTATGTTTAATCACAACTTTTAAATTATTCAGCAGAACAGACTGGTTTTAATCAGTAACGTCATTGCTTTCATTTCTCTACATAAGTTCCAAAATCGGAAGATTTTACCTCACTCTCAATCCAATAATGGCCGACTTATGAATAAGGCCCATTGAAATTGTACAGATATTTAAAAGTATTTTGTGTTATCAATAGTAACCCATTTATTTAGGATTCACAGGCATGCACGTTGTCAATACAATACTGGGAAGAGCCCAAATTTGTTTGCATGACTGAGGAGATGTTGATGAAAAAATTCTTCAAATTTAAAAACAAAATCAAGTGGAGAAAGGATGGGCCTACATGTACGCCTTTGGCACATTGATTTAAAAAATATATATATATATATAGGCCTATAATGAGCGCATAAAATAGTTGTGAACTTCAGTGTTAAAGCTTTTCTAAGTTAGTTTATAAAGAGAATATGTATTTTCCACGCAAATTATTGTGGGGAGTATTCTCACTCAGTTTTTCGAACTGTCACTAATTCAAAACTGCATTTCATCGTTCGCCTTCCGGCGATGGGGATGAGCGAACTGTGTATCTTCCATGAAATTAAAACAGCGCCCCCTTTCGACACTCTTTCACAACTAGCCGTTTCGGCAGTCGTCATCGTTCACCTTCAGCTATACTACACACGGCAAATTTTTTTGATCATAACTAAATTTCCTAGCATTGAATACTAATTTCAAAGTAATTTTGCTTTACAATGGACATTATTGTAGACATTAATAATTAAGGCACTCGGTTTCCTAATACTTTATTTTAAATTATAAATCCAGGTTAACAAATGGTTTCACACTGGTTTGGTGGTATTCATATTAAAATTGCAATTTCAGTAATTCAGATTTGAGTCAGGTGCCAAAAATAAATAAATAAATAATAAATATACTTCAATAAAAATATAAACCGAAAAATGCATAAGTCCATTCGTATTAGCCCGATTTGCATGGCCTATTGGTCAGCAATCGAATTTTAGTTTTAATCAGTTTCACATGAGAAAGATTTGAAGATGTTTAAAAAAATATCTCCGATCATACTCGGCTCAGCTCAGCCTATTCGCAAAACCAAAATAAAAATAATACCTTCAGGCTTCAAATTGTTAGTCAACACTGAAACAAAAATCTGTTTCACAATAAATTAGTAGGTCTTTTAAAAAATCCAACTTAAATAAAGGGGCACTAGGTCCTGAAATCCCCGAAAATTTTATGTTTTGGATTGTTTATTTCAAACATCTGGTTGAAAGGAAACCAACCTAATGTCTTACCGTTCCCGAGAAAAGACGAAAAAACCCTTTTTGTTTACATCGGACACGACGGAGTACGAATACGTTTTTCGTGTCGTTCTCATACAGTGTACGATATACAGGTACACGTTATGTGTCTCGGGAACAGCGGTGACCACACCAATCACCAATGCAAAAAAGTGGTTTCTTCAACGTCCGCAAAAGGCGAACACTTTACGAATGAAATCACAACTAGCATCGAAACAGCTCGAATTTATGGGGTCGCAAAAAGTGGACCCCGAAATTCGTTCTCGCATGCATAATTCAGGAATAACACAAAAACGCCTAGTTTTGAAAAGGGTAGTTGTGTGGATGTTTATATCCTACTTTGAAATGTTATTTCCGATTAACATCATCTCGTTCAAAGCGCGTTGTAGCCAAATTGGGCTGTTCCAGGACCTAGTGCTCTTTAAGTAATTGAGAGGTACACATAAGTTAAATTCCACGACGTATTAAAATCCATTCATTTTTATGAATGAAGAAGTGGACTGTTATTTTGTAAACATATGTATATAGTGGAAATTTCCCACCACATGTTTTTACTCGTATACTGGCCAACGCATTGTATGGTTCAATGCGTACGTTCACAATCAACGGTGCCACGGTGATGCAATCGTCTCAGTGATCACGAAGACCACTTCATGTTGTTACATTTGAGGGGTGTTATCAACTATGATCCAAGAAAGATAATCTTGTAACTAATAGACAATACTTTTTATTAAATGAAGATAAATAATACAAATTTTAACAATATTTAGGTTGATTTTGTGTCGTTTATTTGACTTTTTACAATTGATGAATATATTAATTCAGGTTGTACACCCCTATAAATAGTAGTTCATTCTACGGAGCACCCAAACAATGAATGACGATTGGCGCGCTACCATGCCGCGGCGCGCGCAGATCGAGCTATACCGGCGAAATTTTACACACGAGGTCGAACGAGGTGAAAAATTTTGTTTCGCCGAAGACAATCTGGAAGCAAATCTGCACCATTCTCCATCGAGTCTTGGGGGTCTTTGGTGACATCCAGGTAAGTTGTGCCGAGCACAAAGTCTTGAAGATTTAGACAATACAATTGTGGTGTATTAAATTCAAATGTGGACCGAGTGATTTGAAGTTTATTTTGTTCGAGTGATTTCGATGCTTCAGTCTGTTGGTTAGTGTTACTGTTTATTGTGTGCGTGTCGCGATGTCGTCATGCATGCTGTGTAGATAGAGTAGCGTTGTAGTACAATGTATACAAAATACAAAATCGCTCTAGTTTTCTGTAGTTGTGCACAATAAGTACAAGCGCTTAGCTTGCACGTGGTCCGCTGCAGTGCTGCACGCGTGCGATTGCTACGCACACGCATATGGAGCTAGGAAGGCCTGTCCACACCTATGTAATATTGTAAAGACCCCGAGAGATCTAGATGGGGGGGGGGGGGGGGGGGAATCATTGGGGTTTAAAAGCCATTACTCAAGCATATCAAAGATGGGTCATGGGAATTTAATTTTAGCCAGAAAAGTATAATTTCGTAATGTTATTGCACACAGTTATTACAATGACATTGGTTTTATTTTTCTCGTCTTTAACACACAGGTCAGTCTTTGACTTTGAGAGTAAACGTCAGTCTTCATTTCATTGTCAGCACTTAGAGTGTCCACAATCACAAGAGGCCAAATCCTCATTCTTTGTAATCTTGACTTAACGATGGCCAGTGAAGGTGGAGATGCAGTCAAGACAGACTTTGCCCCGGCGTCTCCTGGCCCGGACAGTAAACCCGCCAATGGGCAACCTGTCTCAGACTCGGATCTAGTCCGACTCAAGCCTAAGATATCTTTGTTCAATGGTGTCACCATCATTGTCGGGATCATCATAGGCTCCGGTATTTTCATCTCGCCTCAGATTGTCTTAGGCTTCACTAAATCAGTCGGGCTGTCGTTGCTTGTTTGGTCAGCATGCGGCGTTTTCTCCATGATTGGTGCATTGTGCTACGGAGAGCTTGGCACAATGATCACCATGTCTGGTGGCGACTATGCCTACATTCTCGTCGCCTTTGGCGGCCTGCCAGCTTTCCTACTTCTCTGGGTCACCGTGGTGATAATCCGACCTACGGCCCAGGCGGTGGTTGCCATGACATTTGCTAATTACATCTTGCAGCCGTTTTTCACATCTGAAGATTGCCCTCCGCCAACGTCTGCTGTTAAGCTGCTGGCTTGCTGCTGTGTCTGTAAGTATGGCTGATTTAACTTTTACTGTCATTAGGGCGGTCATCAAGCCGATGTGGCGGTCGAGGGCGCTATCAAACAAGATGAATTAAATCTTTGAGAACTTTGGCACTCAGACCCAGGAGGTACACTCAGAGTGCCAATGACCCCAAGACTACATTTGATTCATCTCACAGATATTGCCCTACATGTACATGGGCTTGACTACCTTGACCAGGCCTGATACCACCAGGACCGGCTGCATTAGAGGTTCCACAAAATCAAAATCCAGTCTTGTGCCAAGACCATTAGCACCACAATTCATGCCTTTGCTGTAACAAGCCAGTTTGATATTTCAATTGTGCATGTGCACAATGACAGGTCACGGGTCATTTGGGATAATCGGGTCATTCGGGATAATGCTTCAAAGGCGCATGAACGCGGGCGCACGACGCTTGCGTGTAAATTACCAGCAGAATGGGTGTGCGCATAACATCGTGTAACATCACGTTAGCGATGTTATCCCGAACGACCTCGGATCATTGAAATACCAAACTGGCTTCGTAAGACTTAATGACGTCACGCTTTTTTTTACATATGCACTTTTCTATAAAGCGCACATGTAAACAAAATGTGATGTCATTCATTTGTTAGGTCTTCGGTCTATTGTTATGTTGAAACTGCCCACCCCCTTTATTTTTCTGTCTGTGCTACACAGTAAAATACACATAACATTTCATGTCAAAATATTTAACATTTTCCCCTGATGTGGAAATTATTGCATATAATTATAAAATACACAGGTAGGCCTAATAATAGTCTTTCTTGGAAATTCATCCATCATCCATAGAAAATGATGAAATTTTAGCCTACCGGAAGCTTTCTATGCGTGACTGCAACATATATAAATTTACAAATCTACCTTTGCTTTGTGCTGGTACTTTTTTTAAAAAGATAAATAAATCGATTCATATTTGCACTTCAAAATGTTGAAAATCAATAGAGTATTAATTTATAGGCCTGGTCAGCTTGGAATACATAATTCATACTTCATTTACAATTTTCGAATTTTATTAAGCTGAAGATTTCATTGGATTTGCTCGCACGCTTATAAAATAATTGTGATGGGAATTATCAATACACATATTTATCATACACATGTATGTATAGTACATCAAACAAAATATATACATGTTTGATGTGGGTCGCCAGATTTCGAAAAGCATCAAGTAGACTTCACCATCAAGAACCCCCAAGCATCGTTGTGAATGAAGACTTGAAATCGTGAAAGCAGAAAATATATTGTTTAAAACATAACATTTGTGAGAAGTCATAAAACACTGAAATAAGTCCGATACCCTGCATTCAAGAGGATGTACATCAAGACCCTTAGGTTGCGTTGGAAGAGGATATCCATTAAGGAAATCGCTACGTCTCAGAACTTCAAATGGAGGTTCTTGCTGCTGGCACAGGAAAGCTTTTTTCTTTTCCCTTGTTTAGTGTCAGTGTTTCAGTTTCCATTTCATTTCAGTATATGTTTGTGTAACTCTTTTTGGGTTTCGAAAAAGAAATTGCACGCATCAATTTTAAATATTGCTTTGCCTATAAAATCTGCCAAGACTGGTAGTCTGGATACAATGCAGTTCTTACAACCACAAAGATGATTATTAAGGTTAAGTCAAAATAAAACTTTTCCATTTTTGAATTGAAAAAAAAAGAAGGTATTGACCAGGAGTACTCGAGAAAGGGACAGTATTATTTGATGTCACTTTATTTCTTAAAGGGATACAACATTTGCTTTTGCTGTAATTTTCAGAAATTACGTGTGAATTTGGGGGATTGATATTTTATAGCAAATATTGTTACACTGACTTGTTTGAAGTTTTGTGCTCGCAAATACTGGAAAAACCGAGATAAACAATCATGTTCTTGTAGTCTGGTTCCCTGACCCCACTTAAATTGACACGGAGCAATTTATAGATATCGTGGAATTGTAAGGTCAGGGAACCAGTCAAGAAGACTTGTACCTGTTCATGGATGTGTAATCGTTTGCAAACAAAATTCAGGCAATGTGGGTACAATAAAATATGGCACTGTGGGTGCAATAAAAAAAATCTGTTTTTTTGCCAAGGCTGGTCAGCTGACCAGCATTGGAAATTGATAGAAAAATTCTAATTTTCTTGAAAATGACAGCACACCAGGTGCCATAATTTTACAGGATGCTTTTGTCTGTCATTCACTAACAGTCAAGTAAGGTAGTTCATAATAATGTTGATGTTTTCAAATGTTGTATATTCCCTTTAAAAGGAATATACAACATTTGCTTTTGCTGCAATTTTCAGAAATAAATGGATTTGGAGGATTAGTATGCTATAGAAAATATTGTTAAACTGGCTTGTTTCACATTTTGGCTTCAGAGATGCTGGAAAATCTAAGAAAGCCAAATAATGTTCTTCTTGTCTGGTTCTTTGACCCCACTTTGGATGAAACGTTGCACTTTGGGAGATTGTAAGGTCAGGGAATCAGTCTAGCAGGCTTGTACTCCTTCACAGATGTGTAATCAATTGCAAAGAAAATGGAGAATAACTAAATATGAAAAACTAGGAGCAGTTTTTGAAAAAAAAGCCAGTTTCTCCAACGCTTTCTTGAAAATGTCAGCACACCAGGAGCCACGATTTTACAGGATGCTTTTGACTGTCATTCACTAACAGTCTAGTAAGGTATTTCATAATAATTGAGTAGTTTTGTTTGTTGATGTTTTTAAATGTTGTATACTCCCTTTACATTGTAAATGCTTATCAATATTACATGTATAACACAAATTTATTTCAGCCTTGTTCGTGTGTCCAGCTCTATGTATTTATTGCTCAGATGACCTTGGTCTGTGTTGACACATGCACTTTCCCTTTGAATCCGAAAAGATCCCAGTTCTGGTGCATGCATGATTTCAAGGTTTTTAGCTGATGGTTGTTCTAGTCATGGCGGGGTCAAGTAGACTGCTGAATGCAAATGGAGAGTATCTGTAGGCATTTGTTGGTCTGGTCACCGACTCGTGCCTGCCCTGAGAACCTACAGGTACATAAAAAAAATGTACTGTAGTTGCTACAATTATTCTCCATACAAATACATGTATCTTGACCAGTATCAGACAAACACAACTTGTGTGGTTCAAACTGAGAGCTGTAGTCTTGTCACTATACGTGAACCAAAATTCAACTAAAGGCAATCTTTGCAATAAATTGAGTGCCCACCTATGAGCAAAGATTTGATGAGCAATTTAATGTCCAGTACCGTGAAACAAAAAATACAAACAATGAATGTTTATGAGAGCCATGGTAAAAATAATGGAATGTTCCATCACTTTCATCACAAAGTACAAGAGTCTAAGTGAAGTTAATTTCATAACATTATCAGTCTGGAAAATGCAACTCAAAAATACAAATACAGAATAATAAATGAAAGGAAAATTATAGCTTAACTTACATTAATCTCAAATACGATTGTTAGTAAATTTGAGGAGAAACAAAATAAATTGGTCATAAATTGGTTAAGAACAAAAATCCCTTCTCAAAAGTTAAGTTAATTTGAGGTTACGATGAGTACTTCAAAGTTCAAACGCTGTTCCTACATCGTGGAGTATAGTAAGGCATGCTGATGTGGATACAGCACTGCGGAGAGGGACGCAACATCTAGAACTCTACTTACAGTCTCTTGTTTCAGGAAGCATGTGCTTTCTCTGAGGTTTTGGAAATGGCCCATGTTTTCTGGGACCTGTTTGAATGAGCTGGCAAGCCAGTCCTTGACACACTCTGTGCTTTGCTGCCATGACAGAAGGGAGTCGGTGTAGGGTATCCCAAGATGCTCGGGGTTGGAGGGTTGCAGACAAGGTCATCTGAATGGTTTTAAAACTGAATAAAGTGATTAAAATACTTTTCTTGACAAGATTTAAAATTGAAAGAATCATAAAATATTGATGTAATAAAAAAGCATGAAAAATGACAATTTTGTGCAGGGTTGGCTGATTTAAATCACTGATTTAAATCGCGATTTAAATCAAATGATTTTTTTAATAAAAATCACTGATTTAAATCACTTTTTTGTAAAAATCTTATTTTGGCAAAATCAATTGATTGAGGTTCATCACTTAAATCAACTGATTCCACCTAATTACAAAGTGTAAGATGTTGTTAACACGTTTAAACACCCCTCCTTCATCACCATCGACTCAATTTAGGTTTTGCATAATTACACAGAATCGTTTTGATTAAGTCAAGATCTGAGTTTAAAAGTTTTTCTTCAAAGTTTTTAATGTTAAAGAGAACACACTCACGTTTGCTTTAATATTCCTTGATCTGTTTACAGTAATATTGTGAATCAACTGTGCTGGTGTAGGCCTACGTGAACCATCAAAAGGTGTATTAAAAGTCCCAATTAATAATAATAGTCTTATTCCTAACGTTTCTCCCTACAAATTTAGATTGAGATTTATATAAAACCTTTTAAAGGTGCAAGGCCTAATTTCTGTTCTCCACCTTGGACCATCAATCAAACACTATAAGTTACACAAGGATCAGTGCCTCCGGTTTTGAAATTAGAAGCATTTTTATGAAACCAACATGCCCATCTCCATGGAGAACTGTCATATTTTCTTTGTATACCATGTACAGGTACCATAAACCAAGTTTTCATTCATATCCACACACAACGTATTTCAGCTGTATCAATCAAGGAATGCACCTTTAAAGTGTCTTCAGTATCAATGTACCATTGAACCAATGATGTAGACTACATGTAGAAGAAATCAAGTGATTTTTTTAAATCACTGATTCGATACAATTTTTTTCAAAAGCATTTATCAATTGATTGAGTTTTGTGGATGATGGGTATTATAGGAACCTGTAAACTCCTTTGTGATGGGTGTGAGGGTGCATGGGGAGATTTAGACACATGTTTAGACATATCAATATTTTGAAAGTTAAAAAAATCAAAAAAATCTGATTTAAATCAAATAAGTCGCCAACCC